GCTTGATTGCTGACTGAAATGACAGAGAAACATTTGCAACCATTTAAGCAAACACGCTACTTAAAACCTGTTCTATAATGGCTGCAAGTCAGCACATGTGCTAGCTGTGAGTCCGCAGCTCCTGCAGCACGGGCAGAGGAGGGTTTCAGCTGGGTAAGCAAATCTTCTGTCATTCAGGTTTTAAAAGACAAACTGTGATTGAAAATATGTTGCAGCTTGCAGAAAACTCCCTCGTGCAGTTGCGATCAGTCCTCAGGTGGGTAACTCTTACCCGATGGGTCCCAAAAGAGATCTGAAGTGACGTATCCCTCTGTCCATCCAACCTGCATCCAGTGTTTCCATTAACACTTGGAAGGAAATCCCTAGGGAAATCAAGGAAAAGGGACAGAATTAAAGCAGATTAACATGCAGAATAAGGGCCAAGGATGCAAAAAGAGTAAAATCTCAATCACATTTACATTTAGGTTCCACTTACAGACAGCTCAGTTAATAACCCCATTAGGCAATCATTAGGACTAACAAATTATTAGGCAATGCTTAAAGAACAGTTGCAGATGATAGCATCTCACAAACTGCTTGTAATCCTCATACTTTGTATGTGCTTATCATTCTTACAGCACTGGTAGTGCTTGTAACAACTCTATCTAACATATTAATCTTTACAAATTAATGATCAATATGCTCCTAAGGATACATACAGCAGAACTGAAAGCAGAATTGATTTTCCTTCTTGGCTTCTTACTTTTTATTTCCCTATAAGACTGCCAGCATGAGAGCAGCAGTGATGCATTTCAGCACAGCTGGCTTTAAAGGTTGTGTGAAACACACAGGCACCGGGGGCTCAGAATGTGACGCTCCCAGACTTGGGAAATTACGGCAAGAAAATCTCTAAAGATTCATCTGCTCACCCCTGCCGGGGATTTGCCCCTCTCTGATCCCAGAGAGCTTGCTGAAGGCTGCCTAGCCCACTTTCTGCACCTGGCCGAATGATTGACCAGCAACTCGACAGGGTCGTGGAAGCTTTATTTCCTTTGTTTCACGGGTGTCTGCCACAGAGAGCCAAGCTTGGATTAACTGAGCCTAAATCCCTGGGCAGCTCGCCAGAGCAATGCTAGCTCTGAAGCAAACACAGCTCCAAGATGGTTTCAAGACCGGCTTTATAGATCAGTTCTTCTTAGGTGCAAATCCATGGGCAGAGAGCATAATGCCTCATGTCAGGCCCCCGGGAAGCCTCTCCCCACAGGCAGCAGTTGCCAGCCCGTGCGGGAGCGTAGTGAACTTGGACAATGCCGTTTCTTTCGGGCCAGCCCTTCCCCAGCAGCACCCCCTCGCCAGTGATGTAGACATCTTTTCACCGGACACCACGCCGTATTACAATAACACGCATGGACGTGTCTCATAATACGCCTATCCGGCACCTGCGTTTTCTTTGTTGTGGCGCCAAGCATTTTGTTGTATTAGCTTTTAGGTCACTGTCACTGGTAGCAATGTAAGAAAAACGCAATTTTTCAGCATCTTTCAACAGCTGACCCAAAGGCAAGGTGCACCAAGCCTTGCAGGAGCCATCAACTCTCAAGAACATGTCTTCTGCAAGTCTCCTCCTCACCCCAGGAGTTAGAGGCTGTCTTCTGCTCCAGCGTGAGGGGTTACATCTCTTCCAGACCTCTGGGTTTGGCCAGGGAGAGTGGACTTTTAGCCTAGTTGCTGTGGAAACAAGGTTAATGCACTCACACTGTGTTTGTTTTGCCTCCCCCTAATAACTTTTGAACCCATCAGCCTTGTTCAACTGCACTTGATAGAAGGGTAGAGGTCTACAAAATAATTAAGTTGTTATAAGTTTTGTGAAAAAAGGCACTAAGACAGAAGAGAGAGAGGTTCGGTATCAATGTCCTTGCCAAGGAAAGGCTGAGTGTGAATGCTCATCTTGTTGGGCACCAGGAGAATGACACAGAAAACAAATCTGCTCTACATCACAAACGCAAAAATAAAGCTACAGCTGAGATTTGCACTTCTTAGACATCAGAGTCAGCCCATGGACAAGACAGAAAAAAGCTAGTGTTCAAAGAATTACTTGCTATTTTCAATTTGAACTCCACAACTTTTGGTTATTGCAAGGGACTGAATCCTTCTTGGAATGCAGCCAAGTGTCACCTCCACATCGCACTGGTGTAGCAACTCACTGCCTTTCGTTCACCTTCGTCACAGCTGCCACTGCTCAGGGAGCCCAGGATGCAAAACGTTACACAAACTATTTTCAATGAAATTGCAGGGCATCTGAAAAGCCTTTGCTCTGTGTGCAGAAATATTGCATTGTGTGTGTTCAAGAGTGGTAGGTAAGGAAATTCACATTGCTGAAGTGGAAAGAAATACCTCTAAATGTGGCTTGAGAGTGAAAGTGGCAGGCAAGAGTATTGTAAACCGACGATTTGAAAACAGAAATGGGAAACAGAAACTTGTGAATTCACATGGCTGTGGGACCACGAGGAAAGCAACGCTGTATACACAACTGAGCCCAGCTTCCACTGAAAGACCACGGAAAGGTGTCTTTATTACACATTTTGAACTTGCAAAGGCTTACACTGACCCGCATGAACTGAGCAGTCCCACTGCAGGCAATAGCCCAACTCCTGTGCATAAATGAAACACACAAATACATTTTCACCGGTGTAGGATATAAATGGGCGTTGCATCAGACCTTTAATCTTTTTCCTTTTCTTCTCAATGTCCCTCCTCTTCCGAAACCACCACCCCATCAATAAAATGAGAACAGCAATACCTATCTCAACAGAGTACACGAGGATTAGCTTGAAACTGGTTTTACTTTTTTTCCTTTAATGTCCAAGAAAAGAAAATCTTCCTGTATTTTACTTTTTTATACTTCAAAAAGCAATTTGTCTCTTGCCCAGACCTTTTCAGCCCAGCGCTCTGGAATATTTCCACCTTCCTCAGAACTCTTGCGTGATACATCAGCCCAGAGGTGTCTGCTAGCAATGACAGCCCTTAGCTTGCTGCAGTAAAATGGCTATTTAAACTGCTGATTTCTGCCTCAGCTAGTATTTGAGCGTAGTGCTGGGCCACTGCATTACTTGAAACAAACCTGCTGTAATGTGCAAGAGTGAAAACGAGTGATGGCTGAACTTCTAGTCCTCTTTTGTAAGATACTATGTCAAAGGGGGTCTAAAACCCAACATCCTCTAATTGTCAGTTTGGCAGCAGGCACTTCCAACTCTGAAACTCTTTGGGCTCAGAATAATAAAGGCTTTGCATATAGCAAGGCTCCAGGGTGGCTTTTACTTCCTAAGTAATTATTTATATGAGAGTGGTACCTCAAGTCCCCAGAGTGCAGGTCCCTTTGTGCTAGGCATTGAGCAAACATATAGAAAGGGGCCGTCTCCATCCCAAGGAATCTGTGGTTTAAAGAGACAAGTGGGCTGGGTGGAGGAGAGGGGGCAACAGAGGTGGCCAAACAGGTGAAAAGACTCGACTTGTCCTGAGGTCACACTGTAGATTAATGCTGATGCCAGGCACAGCGCTTCTGTCTCTTGAATCCCAGCACAGGCTCCTAACCAGGAGCCCACACTTTTGTGCTCATCTCCCAAACCTCCTCACTCCCATTGATTTTTTTTTTTTTTGGCAAACTTGCCTGGTCATCTGCCTCTGCTGCAGACTGAGACAGGGTGACCACCTTCAGCTGGGCAGTCTCGGGTTTCTCCCCCTCTCCTATTCACTGTCTTTCTACCTTTTGTATCTGGTATAGAACCCAGACCCTGGTAGGATGGAGAAGTTGAGCCAGCTCACATTTTTCTAGATGAGTTTTTTTAGCTGACCGTTATTTTTTCCAGGCAGGGATGAGGGTCCAGACCTAGCTTACACTAGTCTTGAAATGCAAACTGCTATTGAGCTGCTCCAAGAGACTCCTTTCTGCAGCCTCAGATACCTTTAACACAGTTTACGAAACAGGGTAGAAAATTACAAAGTCAAGACTTTGCCTACCTTACAGTTTCCTTTGCTTCCATTCAAGCTATTTACAAACATTTCATACCCACTTAAAGAAACCCACTCTGGACGGTTTGAATGACCAGTGGATAAGCAGATAATTCAGCATAAACATATACTCACCACATGCTGGTTATTGCAGGCTGGTGCAGTGTTGAACTGTTGAGCTCACCTTCCTGCTGCTGCTGTTCTACAATGCTCTGTGAAAGAAAGATGCCAAGGTACCTACTTCCAGGAGAAGTCATCGAGTTACGAAGCCCTAGAGGCAAGATAAACCCAGTCTGGTCCTCCAAGCAGAGAGGTCAGACCTGTCTCTGGTGAGCACTTGGGGATGGCTGGCTCCAGGCAGCTGCATGGCAAATTTGCATGGCTTATTTTATGACATGCCCCATCAGCTGGGAAAACAGATCATCTTTTTCTTACGGTGAGGTGGATTATCAGATTTGAAGTAGCAGGTCTCAGAGCTGGTGCTTTTTCTGAATGGATCAGCTAGACCCAGGTGAGGAATCACTGACCTTGCCACAACTTGCCACCAGCCTTGAGAATCTGTATAACCTGCTTATTCCCTGGATTCTGGTTACAGTGATTTTTGAATGGATATAAACCAGCTGACACATCAAGAAAGGGAAATTACCTTTCACATGAAATGTTTGCTATGCCAGACTGTTATCTGACATTAGCTGCCAAACAGAAAACGTAGGCATGGTCTTAGGAACAAATAGGTAGGAATGGAAGCATTTTCTAGTTAACAGTGCCCCTAGAAATGCATAGACATGGCTGCTTTCAGCAAGGGCTACAAGACACACCTTTCTCCCCAAAGCCACCCCAGCTGATTAAGTCCTGTTTTTCTTTTCTTCCTCTAGTAAAGAATCAGCAGAAGGCTTCTAGTCCTACATTGCAAATCAGGCATCTGTACACTGTACGGATGAAAAAAACCCAAGACAACAGCTTTCCTGTGTGTATCAAGTGGCTGGATTTTAGAATAACCAAAAGACATGGCCTTCTTGTCCTGTATTTTATTAGGAAATTAACAGGCTGATTGATAACCTGAAATTACATAGTGAATCTCATTTAAAAAAATGTTCAAAATTACAACAATAATTTGATTTCTATAAAACATAATGCCCAGATACAATTCCTGTTTGTGCCTGTAAATTAAATTTCTACACCCTTAACATTTATCTACTGTACAGCAGCAAGGCTGGATAATTGCAACATAATCTGTAAAGTTAGATAAAGTATACTTTTCTCTGCAGTCCAAGTGAAAGAGATGAAATGTTGAAAAGAAAGCCCGGAATGTGAGCAGCACTATAAGAAGGTTCCCTGCAATCTCAGTTCATTACATGTCGGTATTTCAGACTGCTCAAAGATTTTAAAGAGTGGTGACGTTAACTGCTGTGCAAAATTATGGGGCTTTAGGGCATCAGTTTTCCAGGAGAGGGATAGAGACCACCGTGGGGTACAGGCTTTGCAGTGAGGGGAACAGGGTGCACTGGATGCGTATGATGCTCAAAACACAAGAGCTGATAAATCTGTCTACATCTCCCTCTTTTGCCAGCGGTATGGGCTACCACCACCACCACACTGGACTAAATAGCTTTTCCTGACACTCTGTCAGCTTTAAAAATGCTCCACGTTCAAAGCAGGGCTGACTGGTACGGGTGCTGCCTATCCGCAAGGGCGGAATTCAACCTTAGTAATCGAAGCCCAAATCCTGTTCATGGGGTGTGTGTGTGAAAAATCACACTGAGCCAAACACTGCTGGCTTTACTGCACTACCATGTGGGGTAATGCTCCGTGGGATGTAGCTGAGGCCCTCGGTCCTCTAAATTAGAGCTAGCACTTTTCAGTACCAAATGACTCTTGTAGGGAGTAGAATTTCTCAAGACGTTATTCAGGAAACTGTTCAAATTGTCATATATGCTGTCTGGCTAAGAGATGCTTTCCTGAACGGACGCCTCGATTCCTGCAAGGATTAGGGATGCTCAATAAGTGGCCAGCTCAAGCACTCGACCAGCAAGTTCAGTCACGTCAGCCTTCTGTACTATTTTTGGCAATTTTAAGCTAAAACCCAGTAGATTTCAAAAGTAGTTGGCCTTCTTTTTAAAAAGCTATTTCAGGACAAGTACATTCAGACCACGGTGTTTTATATTTACACATAAATTCTTTGGCAACAATTTTCTAGAAAGCAGAATCATTTTTTCTATGTAATACTTTATTGTCTCCCATGAAAAACTGATATCTTAAAAAAATCTATAGCACTTTCCACTATAAATAGTATTGTTCCAGATTAAGGATTAGTTCCTCCCTGAAGAAAAACAGGTTTAAAAAATCTGGTCATTATCTGATAACTATGTAGCAAAGTTAAAATAAAACAGAAAAAGAAAATCATTCAGTATGTGGTTTGCCTTCCTCTAGAATGTTAGTGTATGTTTATACAATAAAAACAACATAAGTTATCCTAGTTTGTTTTAAAAACCTTAGTAGTAGAAATATATTGCTATCTGCAGATTCATAAACAGAATGCACTTTTTCCATCTAAGTTCAAGTATTATTAGAATATTATTATTACTATTATTATTATTAAAGGAGCTCTAAATCTTTGACGTTTTGCCTGTCTTTACATCATTTTGGTCTTTCTGAGAAATAATGAGTTGTGATCATTTGTTCATGAACAAAATCAACATGGAGCTTCAGTAAGTTTTGCCTGCTAGAAGACGGCCTGGCAATCCTTTGGCTGTTATGAGGGGCTTTAGAAGAGTGTATCTGAGACCAGTGGTATAGATACAGTTGTTGTGTGTTTTCCTGGGATAGCTGATGAACTTAATTCCTTCCAGGTTCTCAACATTCAGTCCCATTTAAAGGATAAAGTTGGGAAGAACCCAACCCAGACTTATATCAAATCAGGATATATCATCTTCGTTTCTTCTTGGTACTGTCAGTTGCTCGTAGGTTGGCAGGGTGTTATTAGGGAGGAAAAGATCTGAATTGACACTGTTGCCTCTCTGAGATGATCTGTTGTTCCCTTGATGCCCCTGCTGATGGGAAACCAGATGATGCAGCATATCTGTGATGAGGTTCAGTTTCTGGTCCATTTGTGTCACCTACAAAGGCAAAGGGAAGGTTTCTTTACTAGCAGCAGGTGAGAAAATTGCAACGAACCATGTGATACAAATGCAATAGTAAAATGACAGTTTTCTTAATTAGGGTCACAAGGACCTCTACGAAGACACCACAGATTCACAGCTCATCAAGCAGAGCATTAGAAATTTAATGCAATAGGTCAGAGCTGGATGAGGACAGGCCTGTTACTACTCACCTCTGGTATGTGCTTTGACACTCATTTTATACCTGGATGAACATGTGACAAGTGGGCTTTTGAAGAGATGTGCTGGGATAGAGAACGAAGTCCCAGAACTGAGTTCCTGTGGTTTTTTGTTATTATTGTGTCCACATTTTCTTCTGAAAACATGATAAACTTCTAACATGCTTACATGCCTTAATGATATCAATATGCTCTAGTAAATATCTGCTCTACTTGCAGTGATCTAATCAACTCTACGATGGGACTGACTGATCCTCTTTGTTACATTTGGGCCCAATTACCAGCTCAGGCCACAAAATGCCCACAGATATTTTTGCTGCCGTGTGTATGTAGCAGCTGGGCTCTGTGGCCAGGGCTGGGAGCGAGGCATGATTTGGTTTTATGCTCTCATCCTCCCAGTGACACAGCCTTCACTAGGACTGCTGTTCGAATGACATGATTCACTTAGAGCCAGAGACTCTTCTAACTTGGGTGAAAGCTGATTCTTCAACTGAGGAGCTGCAAGGGAAGGTTCAGCCTGAATCCATAATGGTAATTTTCTTCTGCCTATAGACAGAAACTCCTTAAATTATTTAGTGCTTATTTTTTGCTTTTTCTGCTCTTTCTTCTAATCTGTAGGAGAAAATATAATGAAAAATTATACTGATACCTAATTGATACCTAATACTGAAAAATTATAACGACACCTAATAGAAGCTAGGTTATGGATTTATCCAAAATTTAGACGCTATTCGGTGTACATTTTTGGTACTCAGGGGAAAATCAAGAATGGAATGTTTCAGGGGGCATCACAGATTCAGTCTCTGGTTTCTTGCATCTTCCAGTCAAGAAGTACCCTTCATCACCCCCTTTATCTGGCGTGGGAAGCCTCCTCTCTGTGCTGGCTCCCGTGTACTGAGCGAGATGTCCCAAGGGGAAGATGGGGACTTTCAGCGTCAAAGTCCTCCACACTCCCTGCTCCTTGGCATGGCAAGTATTGACACTGGGCAGTAAGAGTCTGCCTTCTGGCTTCCTACTCCCTTCTACAAGCATAATGAGAAAGCCCCGATTTTGCCGTTGTAGTCTCTGACCCATCGATCCACAGGGATCCTAAAACACTAAGTAAATTCTAGGCAAAAAGATGTAATACATTTTAAAAAGGGAAAAGAAAGTAAGCAGAAAAAATGTGATAGGAATAAATTGCTGCTTAAAATATCTGCTAGAAAGTAGTGAAAGGCACATAAAACCGCCAGAGAGAGCATGAGTGGGAGCAATTTATATGTGCCTGGCTATCATCCAAGTATCACACAGGATAGTAAAAGACAGTAAGGCTGAGCAGAACATCAACAAACCTGGAGGATTTCAGCAGAGACTAAAATGTTTTTCCACTGTAGAGAAAATGCCTTTTTTTTTTTTTTCTTTCCCCCCAAACAGTTTGTACAACTGGTAGGGAAGCAGATACAGTGATTTAAAAATATGAGGTGCCAGAGATTTATACTTTGCAGCTGGTTTTGAAAACATTAGGCAAAGCACCCTAGATGGTACATGAAACACTGGTAATTCTGGATAGAAATGGCTGTTGAAAGATGAGATTCTTCAAATGAGGAAGCTGAAGAACATATAAGTTCAAGATTTCTAGAAGGAAATACAGATGGAAAATTGAGCAGATCATCAGGTTTTCATTTCATCACTATTTGTTCACTCCCTTAAAAAAAAAAAAAAAAGCATGCTTTGCCCAAATGGTGCCCATCATAGATGCCAAACTCATGATGCTCCAAGCGTGACAGTACAAATCAGTGCTGGTGAAGCCTGCAAAAATACCCCAATCCTCCAGCCCCCCACTGCTTGGGTATCACTTGCTTTCTGAGACAGCTGTGCTGGAAGGTCTGTCGTGGAAGAGTGCAGACAAACAGCTATCTTCAGAGTCCAAAGGACAACTTTTCCTTGAACAAGAAATGTCTTTTTGCCAATTATTCTAAACTAACTAGGGGATTTTTATATATATATTTCTTAATTTGTGATTCCAAGCAGGGATTACCAGAGGAAACACAGACTGAAGATATATCTGGAAAATGTACATTTATGAAACTCTTGCAGTGATGAGCTATTGAACATGACAGTAGATTGGACTGAGATCTGGATACTCCTTCAACAGCTGTGCATCTTGGTGATGAAGTACTGGAGAGAAGTGACATGTGAATAATCTTGCTGGGAAATAAATTCCCAGAGATAATTGTCTAATTTTTCCTAGGGAACAAGGTTTGGCTGCTGCAGCTGTGGAGTGCAGGAGGCCCACAGAAGCAGAAGCTAATTGTTATTGAGCTGAGCCATATGAGATACAAAGTAAAGGCCTTCATCTTCCATGTTCCTGCTTATAGGGGTAGGGCTCTAAAGCCACAAAGCTTTTGCGGAGGGAGGTCCAGATAGCTGCTTGTGTTTAGTTGTTGTTTAATCAGTTTTGCTTTCCAATAAAGCAAGTCATTTCCCAGGGAGTTCTGCGCCCCCGAAGGGCTCGCTCCAAGGCACGCTGAAGTCAGTGGTAGTTTTTGGCAATCACAGACTTCTAGTGACTTCAGCGGGCTCTGGATCAATTTTGGACTAAATCATCAATCCCAAAGAGTAACATATTCTTTGGATATTACCAGAGAAGGAGCAGTCTGGACTTCTGTACACTGCTCTGCTCATGCTTCTTGGGGCTGGATCAGACAAGATGCCATTTGCAAATGAGATGGCAGTGGGACGATGGGCCCCCATCCTCGGTTCTGCCAAAGGGGCATCTGCTTAAAGTATGAGACATTTTAGAGAGAAGTGAAACCTACCAGAAGGCAACTTCTCCTGTCATCACAGGCCTCTGATGTACAAGAATAAGAGGCTTGATGGGGAATGACCTTGCTTATTAGCATGCCCAATCTGTCTGTCCTCATCCAAACACATCCTGAAATTCATCATTCACTTGTTTACCGCAGAGATAATTATACCCACTAGAAAAATGCCATCACGTGCAATACCCTTTTTATTAAACTAGCTTTATATACTTAGCATGGCAGAGTGTAGCATCTCCCCTGAATCATAGTTTCAAACACATTTACTTGATTAGAAATTAGCTGTGATGCCAGAATGAATAAAAGTCAAGCAAACAGAAAAACTGCTGATGTTGCTATAATCTTAACTGCTTTGGACAACTCTGATCCCTCCACTTAAAACAGCAAACAGTGTTAATTACACAGAAAAATAACTCAGATTGATTTGTTTCTTTTAGGAAAAACTAAGTAAGCTCTTTCTAGCTGATTTATGTTTCATTAGAAGCATGATGTTTGGATGATCAAATTCTTTATATGCAAATAATTTCCTTTGCATTTTATAGTTGTTGGGGAGAGGAAGCAGTGTTTGAAACTCTTCAGAAATGACACATCACAGTTATTTCTAAATCTAAATGTATAAACCCAAGATTTTTCCAACCTCTGAGATTTTTGTTTGTTTGTTTGTTTGTTTTTTTAAAAAAGATCCAAGGATCATAGATTAAGCACAGATGGAGAGACGCAGATTTAAACAAGTTTTGAACCTAGTTCTTAAAAATGAATAAAACCATCCATGCAGTGCACTGAGAAAAGTTCTTCACAAAGGCTGAAGATTAGAGCACAAATCTTAAACGGCACATCATGGAGAAATGTAGCCATGTTACACACAGATTTTTGCTCTCCCTACAAAGTCACAGAGGCACATGACTACTCTGACCCCCCAATCCATAGACTAATGGTGATGACGTAGTTCCTATGAACCAGAAAGTCCTCTGAGGTCACGTTTTCAGGAGCAGCAATCCTCTACAACTGGATATAGTGACATGCCAAATTTTATAAAGGTATTAAAGGCATTCCAGGAGGTGCTAGTGAACAAGAGAGAGACTGTTCTTGTGATGAGAGAACAGAATAATGAGCAATTTATCTACTAAAATACCACAGATCTTCACTTCATATTAATGCCCTGTGATTTTAAGCATTCATAAAAAATTCATGGTATGATTCAGAACATAAAATGTAACAATGAATTTCTCTCCTTGTGTTGTTTTTTTTTTTTTTTTTTTTTTTTTTTTTTTTTTTTTTAAATAAAAAACCCAAAGAAGCCTGAGTGGCTCCAGGGACATCTAGAGGAGAGTCTTCTTTACGAACACCTATAATGGAGAACTAAAGAGCAGCACCCTGGAGATCCACTCCCCAAACTCACTATAGGGATTTCCTGGGAAGCGTCAAGGACAGATGGAATTATGGAGCTGAGGGGAACGGTATTTGCAGCCATGGATATTCGGGGTAGTGGGGAATCTGAAGGACAAAATTTGGAGTTTGGTATAACTTAGGCCACAAAGACCACAAATTACTAATATTTTATGCCAAGTGCTGCTCCGTGATCTGAGGGGATCAAGGTTGATTAATGCTGTTGATTAAAGCTGTCTCAGGGAAAGAAAATGATGCTTTCTTCATCTGTGCATGCTTGTAAGCATTGTTGTATAGAATCCCTGTGTTCACTATTCAGTACTATACCCGGTAATAAGCTGGCTTTGTATTTCAGAAAAACACAGAAAATGTCCTTTTAACAAAATCATCATCAGGCACACTAATGACTCGGTTGACGAAAAGGTAAGAGGCAAAAACCATTCCAGAACTTATGATACCTTACGGGCAACAATATGAAGAGAGGTAACAGTATCAAGGGGTACTTAAGAAAACAATGAGTGTATTCTGCAAGTGAAGGTGTGGTTATAAACCACGTTTTTCTTTGGTGGGATCCATCGTATTTAAGTTCTTG